TCCAAGTTAATCACCCCTGTATGAATATGTGAATATTGTGAATCAAAATTACATTTTTACGAATTAACTAATGAAGTATAGTTCAAACTGAATTCCTTTCTCGAGAATATATCTCTAGACGTGAGAGATCGATGAAATACTTAGCGCGTGACAATAGTGTTGAACTATACGATGAAGCTTTAGTCCTAATAGTTATTTATGTATCAAGGTCGTAAAAGGTGCTTTTATGTAGTATGGACCGTAGCATGTCAGCATAAGAGCTCGAGCGATAGCAAGGGATATCACGTCCAGATCCATATAGAAGCAAGTGACGCCCGAGATATACATATATACAATATCATTTCATGCATGACCGCGGTATATTATTAATTATTATGTGATTTTTCATTGTAAATACTTATCTTTATTACCTCTGGAGCACGATAGAGAAACATCATGGTTTCCGTTAGGCTGTGATGGAATATAATACGATATTAACATAAAAGAAACATTCCTGAAACTCTCCATGTTATGTTTAAATATCTCAGGAATACACTCAGTTCCAAAAAAAGTAATGCACTTGATATTTGACCTATCTTCTTTAAAAATAAAACGAAAAATAGTAGGCCAATTTTTTTTAATTTGTTGGTAAGTATAGGTAATGCATGTTTCTCAAAAAAAAATAAAGAGGTGAAATTTTTTTCAAAGCCTCCTTGATGGTGGTGGAATAACTCGAACCATGATTTATTCTTATTTTTTGACTCACCCTGTGTGTTAATTGAGTAATGGTATTCAAAGTGCTTGCACATGCTGGCTTGCACCCTATACGAAAGAGGCTTTTTTTTGCGAGCATTTTTGTTTTTTATTCATTGATTTATCTCTAAAATTTTCCGAATTACAGCTTTTTTGCTGATACCTTACGCTTATGCCACAAATTAAATTTATTAAGATCTTCGCCAAATTCGTGATGTTGCAGTAAATAAGCAGACGGTATGTAGACGTCTGAAAGAAGTTAATTTAAAAGCTAGGAGACCTGCAAAAGGTCCCAAATTATTGCCCGAACATCGTGCTGCTAGAAGAAATTTTGTTGAAAATTATGGGCAATGAATATTCCTGAATGGTCGAATGTCTTGTTTACGGATGAGTCAAGGTTTTGCCTTAACATGGTGGATGGAAGAAAAAGAGTGTGGAGAAGAACTGGTGAACGGTTTAATCAAAATTTAATAACAGAATGCGAAAGTTTCAATGGTGGGTCCGTTATATGGTGTGGGGGAGGTATTTCAATGAATGGAAAGACACCCCTTCATGATTTTCCGGTGAGGCAGTCGATGAATGCCCAAATTTACATTGAAATTTTAGAGCAGTATGTCTTACCTTATGCAGAGTTAGAGGGCAATAATTTTATATTGATGCAGGATAATGCCCGACCACACACCGCAGCAATAGTGCAAAACTTCTTAGAACCAAATGTTAAACTTCGTATGCTGACGTTGCCAGGTTCATGATTCCGTTTTATTGGCTATTATAAATCACATGCTTGAGTGTGACCAATGAAGACGGGTGGTTACTCTGGCAACATCGGCATGTGACAGTCCGAACGTCCGAACTACTCCGAACCATTGTCTGCTAAATATGGCAATATGGAGAAAAAATCTAGTGAGCTGGAGTATCAGCTCACTAGATTTTTTCTCCATATTTAGCAGACAATGGTCCGAACACCTTTGTCCGAACCAAGCACGGCCGGCTCCGACTGTCCGAGTCCCAGGCACGTAGTCTCGTCTTTTTCGGCGTCTGCTGTCCGCTCTCTAATTCCCCAATTTTGAAGTTATCAAAATGAAAACACATTTCATGTGGTTATGATTCCATCGGAATTCGTAAAAAAGTTCAACTTCATTGCGATCGCAGTCGCCATTTTATTCGAATAAATTTTGCAAAATTCGTACAAGCATGAACATACCTTTATACTGTTGACACCCGGAAGTATCAAATATCCACATCATAATTCTTTTGTTTACGATGCAAGAGATACGCCACTGGTTCTCACCCCAAATCCACATCAACCACCCTTATCTCGTTACCGGCGCACCCCCTCAAATGCGCGTGACTCGAGTCGCAGAATTCACATGTTGAAACTATACAGTTTTTATTATCTGTGATTATTATAAATATTTTATTCCACAACAGTTGTGGTTCACGGTGATTAGCACACTGACAGTTTTGAGGTTTCCTATTATCGAACTTATCCATAAGGAGTCCGCCCTCAGATACAATATGGATGTCGTGGTAGAAGTTGATAGTGATAATGTTTCTTACACAGAAAACTATATTGAAACGAAGTACAAATATGAGTATACAACAGCAGAACGAAATGGAAATGTTATCAAAGTAAGTGATATTTTTTATTACCTACTTTATACGACCAAATATAGTAAGGGGTATACACACTATACATGCAATGAATGTTAGAATACTGGCACATATACATAAGCGACGTAACTTCATTCACGAGTACCTAAAAACGAAGTTACATGCTGTACTTCTTCTACGACTCCAAACTGAATGAATAATTTCTACTTTGGTACTACTTTCCGAGCTACTTTATTCCTCCACTTTGAGCTATGGACTTCTACACTAGATTAGAAACAAATATAATTAACGGATTTATTGTTTTCAAAAATTTTATAACATACAGTAGGTATACCATATTTGAACACGTTGACCGATTTGACGAAATAGATTTAGTATAAAATTTACAGGATGGACATGTTTCATTGACTGATACTTGAGGAATCGATAGAACTCGATGGAACTATATACGTTTTTGAGATATTCTGCACGGAATTTAAATATTTTTATTAAAAATATTGAACATCTTTCCAAATTTCGTGGTACATGGTGTTGATACAGGGTGAATCAGATTCAAACGAACATAGAGGGCACGATACCTGAAAAAAGAGAACACTTCAGTGGTTCCAAATCATGCACTCCCCATCGATGTTCCTACCATCTTTTATATCTGAGGTACAAGACGTTATCTTGATTCTGGTAAAATATTCATCTGGTTATGACTTTCGAACCACTTTGCAGGTATAATCTATATTTATACTTGGAAGATATATTCCATTTATATAACCCATCAAAACTGGGTATAGAAATAGGAATCAACCATGTAAACATGTAGAGTATAACCAAAGTCTGCTAAATGAAAAAGGAATCCAGTCAGCTCTGATTGAGTAAAACCATTTAATCAACCGAAACCTTTACCCAAATTCACGTTAAAATTGGGTTCACCAATATTATTGTAAAACTGTCAAATATCGGTCAACAAAATCCTTTTGTTATCCATAATTTACAGAATTGACAACAACAGTATCATCCTTAAAATTTCACAAGAAGATTGATAGAGATTGATGCACTCACTACACATTTTACTGATATAGTCGAATCTGAGGTATTTTAATTTTTTTGAAAGGGATGCAATGAAACTCTTTGTGTGGTCGGATTTACTGGCCTCGAAATAAGCACGGAGTTGATTCGAATGGATTTATTTGCTCCAAAAACACCCAGTATGACAAAAATGGCACACCTCGTAGCACAACTACAAAAACGCAGTTCTGAAATGGTACTTACACGAAATATATTATTTCGTTGCCTACCTACAAAAACGCAGGCACAGGTGAGAATTATTTCAAGTATTGAAATAATTTCCCTTGGAAACCAAAAGACGTTTTAATAATTGTGTTGGCCACTTTGGTTCAATAACATAATGTCGCATTCATCCGCTCTAGATGAGTTGGATTCAGAAGTGAAGAGAATTGTCGGATATGAAAAAGCTCAGTGTTTTTGCGGAGCCCGGGTTTTTGCGAGTCGTTCGCGTACCTATGAACTTTACTGGTAATTTTGGTACCATATAGCGCATACAGGGTCCCAGACAGCACCAGATATTCCATGAATATTCATAGAATATTATTTTTGGATATTGCGAATATTCATGAACATGCCAGGGATATACATATCAACTATGGAATATTCCCTGAATGTGCTGGTGGGGAAAATTTTGTATATTCCCGAAATATTACACAAGGAATATTCTATATATATTCAGAATGTACCTATAATATTCTAGGAATATTCAGATAATATTCGGTATATTCCTGGAATAATACAGAAATATAAATGAATGAATATTCCGGAAATATTCCGTAATACATATTCATAATTAAAAAAAGCTGACCCAAGATGGGCTCGAACTCGGGACTTTCAGACTGTCAGATCAACGCCTTAACCACTTGGCCAGTAATCGAGTTGAATAATAATGTACATAACAATTTATTGAATTGCGTTGTTCAGAAGGGAACCATAAACACTTCCAGTTCCATATGGGCTCTTAACATGTACGATGATCTGATTGAGTACTTTGCTCACTATTAAAATTGTGGAGACGACTTTTTGTTTTTGATCCCTGGTAACATAACCACTTCACTTTGAAATACGATGGACTTCTACCACAGATTTCAAAATCAATGTTCAATACTCACATCTATAAAATTGTGATTGGTTAATTTTCATACTTTACAATTTCATTGAAACACATGGGAATATTATTGAAATATTCCATGAATATACAGGAACAGAATATTCAATTGGGAATATTCCTGGAATATTCATACCTGAATATTCCCTGCACTACCCAACTGGAATATTCTAGGAATATTCACTTCAGAATATTCCTTCTGAAATATTCCATGTATATTCATTTTGGAATATTACTAGAATATTCACATTTGAATATTCCTTGAATGTTCCAGAGGCACGTATATATTCTAAGAATATTCGAAGGATATTCGGAATATATTCTTCCCTTTTAGTATATTTAGAGAATATTCTAGGAATATCCAGTGCTGTCTGGGTTGATTCCACTGCAACTGTCGTGCAAGGGCGAACAGGGGTTGATCGAAAGCTACAACAGGTATTTGACCTGGATTTAGAGCACTGACAGCATTAGCTACAACAGTTAATACATGGGCAATCATAGCAGGGGTGTGAGATGGCTCTTTTAAAAGTGGAAGTAGAGCACCTATACTGGGAGAAAATTCCTGATTGGCAATACTGTTGGCATGATAGGCTGACCAAGATAACCATCGGTCATCGGCATCGGTATTACTATCCAAATAATCCTTCACATGGGATAACCAATCATATTCTCTTGCTTCGGCTTCTCTCAGAGCACTAAGATTACCTATATAAGGTCCGTGGACTGAAGGAAGAGTCACATTTGGCCGTAGTTGCGTTACAGGGGAAACAGTCGTGTAAAAGTCTGGCAGATAAGGTACCGATTTAGATATTGCTTTCGAAGGATATTCCAAGGTGGCCCAAGTCTCTCCTGAATGTTTTGGAGGCGGATGTTGGAATAGTGAAATGCCTGTACCATGAAATGAGGTATGTGCAGTTGTTGCTGATGGATTGTGATCGATGTTGTCACCTGCTGCTGTTGTGAATATACCTTTCAATAAATTCGGAGGACATACGAGGTTATCTTGCTCATATTTATTACAGAGAGTTTCAGCAATACAGTTGGAGATTTCTAGTACACGATCATATGATACACACAACCCGAGGGTGAACATCAGATCCAGGATTTGGCGTTGACGAGTATGAGTGTGTATGTAAAGCCCGAGTCCAACTGCAATTGGTGGCTCACGAATTCGTTGGTGATACATAACATTAGGATTAGATCGTTCGGATTTGCAATTGAAAAGAAGAAGTTGCGATATCGTCAAAGCAGGTTGAGTTTGTGAGTTACTACATGAACGTTTCTTTATATTGCATCCATACAAAATCATGCTAACAATTGACATCAGAGAGGAAGGCACAGCATGTTGTTGACTGCCCTCTTCAAATTTATATGGAAACGAGACATTACTTTGTTTAATTTCCTTGCGAACGATCGCTGCTGCTTTTGAAAGAATGTTTGCTTCATCGTCAAGTTTATGCTGGTAGGCTTTTTGGATAACATCTTCCAGCTCGCTATCGAACACGAGATAGCTGTCCCTTCCTTTCCTAAAGGAACGCAAATCGTTTATCTGAGTAAGTATACGGTCCTTAAGTTTTGTGCTATGTATACGACCCTGTACATCGATTCCCATCTGATTCAATCGCTCAGTATACATATTGACCAAGTCTGTCATTTTGAAAACTGGGGAGTTGGTATCACCCCTAGCAGATTCAATGTACGTAATCAACTCTGCTAAAACCATAGCTTCAACCTTGCCATGCTCCTCAGGTTCTTCATCAGAGGGTTGTACTCTTCTGCATTTATTGTACAATTTCACTAGGCAGAGTTTATGATAAGTAGCATCCTGAGCCACCATGTCTCCTTTGTTCAACTTTGCTAAGAGTTTCTGATCTCCCAATTTTGTTGCACATTCCCTCACTTTTGCATCTAATCCTAGTGTTAATACAAGATGAAACTTGTGATCAGCTGTTTCCTCGCCATCACAGAAGAAGCAGATAGCGATATGTCCACTGGTAGTCTGTTTTTCCCTAAGACATCTTGTACTACTTGTGGTTACCTGGGCATCTTCAGAAGTAGTAACCAATTCTGGCTCGGGATCACATTTATTCAAATGTGTTTTCATAGCCTTTGCATTTAGCTTCAAGCGACATGACTTGTGCCATTTTGCATTATGTTGCAAGAGTGTCGTCTTGATTCCGCAACCTTCGTCCAACAATGCCACGTCCACCTTTACTGGGGTAGATCCTGATGTTCTCTCAAACTCAAGGATAATATTTTCGAGTACACCATAACATTGTTCAGGTTTCATCGCTTTACTTTTCATAGGATCTAATAGCGATTCGGAGGTAACAGATTGACAAAGACTACATTTTTGCCAATCAATAATTCTTTCATTAAGTCTGTTACTTTCCATTTTAGATGATGATGAGAGATCAAAATCTGTAAATAACCATTCAAATTGTGAATAAAAAATTCAAAATAATCAAATATTCGGAAAAGTGGCTATCAAAGTATTCAGACAACAATTTCAGCAATTTTACAAAGTGATATGAACAAAAGTATGTTCTCACATACCCCTTTTATTTTTTATTCTCTTTCTATACTTGCACAAATATTAAAATCTCAAGTAGCCAATTCTCAACAAGCTTTCCGATGTCCGATGTCAGACTGAGATGTAAAATGTACTTCTAGCAGAGAACCGACTACCTAATCAATACATATCAACAAGTCCAGACAAGTTGATGCGTGTATTCGTAACTAAATGATTTCTGAGAAAAAACGTATCGCTTGGCAACAAATTCGTAGAATTCGAGATTTTATAATGAGAGACAATTGAGATGACCCTGTGTTACCTTACTGAATTGGTGATGCTGCCATTTTGTTTTTTTTTGTGAGCTTTGCTACATTCACTTATCCAATACCTACTCGGAATATTTCTTGAAAATTCAACATGTTTTCATCATAAAAAGCAAAATTTATAAAATCGTTCACCTTGTTACCTACATGAAATCTAATTTGACAAGGCCGCCATTTTGTTTTCTCGTGAAATTCCTCAGGGCTTTTTCATTTCATATCACTAAGGACTACTAATTGTACATATCCTGTAAATTTCATGATGAAAAGAACAGTTGTAATGACCGTTCACCTGTGTTATATCACATTCGAAATGACATGGCCGCCATTTTGTTTTCATGTCAACTTCTTCAGGATCTCCCTATTTTTGAGCTTTAAGGACTCTATACTGAACAATTCCTCAAGATTTCATGATTTTTTGATGAAAAATACAATTACAATGACCGTTCACCTGTTTTATGTCATATTTGAATTGACAAGGCCGCCATTTTGTTTATATGTCAACTTTTTCAGGGCCTCCCTATCTTAAATCACTAAGAACCATCTACTGAACAATCCCTGAAAATTGCATGCTTTTATCATCAATAGCACAATTGTTACCGAAATCTGCCCCACTATAAGTCTTGGCATTAAATATGCTCCAAAATAAATAGAGAATTCAAAAATAAATTTGGTTCCCATAAAACTCAGTGGCATACCAATTTTATCTTCAAAAATTGTCACTTCAAACCCCATTCGAACGTCACTGGTGAAGATTTTGAAATATTTTCCACGTCAAAAAATGCCCCTTAATGATAAAAAGGTATGTAAAAAATTTTATGAAAATATCTAAGAGTGATAAAAAATCATTATGAAAAACTCACTTTCTTCTTAAGAGATCAACACCCTGTAGCTCAAAAACAGAGGTTTTGGACATATTATTATGTTAATGTGAATTTTTCTCCTTGAAATCGCCCAAGGATTCACACCTTGTTTTATCGGCACTCAATTAATTAACACCCTGTATGTATATTATTGTAGTCTGACATTTCAACCAAACTCGGTTGAGTGGTCGAGTCAAAAGTCAAGGCAGAACTCATGGCATAAATATTGCATACTGGTAAATATTCATGATGATACGCATCAAATTTCAGATAGAACCATGCATTTATAATTTGAATGTTCGAATTGAAAAATAGCATATTATCCAGAGTGAGCAAAACATTATTGCAACGATTTATTATACTCTTGGAACGAATTGCATTATTCTTTCAATTTTATTTTTAGACATATAATTTATATCCTATTACAAGTAATGAATTGATTATTTTATATTTTTCCAGTTTATTACCAGTTGCATCATTATTTGTCGATAGTTACTAAATACTTTTCTTTTTTGTAAAATGAATGTCATTCATATATACCTATTTTATACTTATTGCATTGCTTTCCAAAATTGAAAGTAGGTATATACAGGATGTCCCATAAGTCATGGATAAAAAAATGTCATAGTATTAGGAGGTCATTTGAAATCAAACTTACCGTATATGTGGTTATCCAATTGTTGATGGTTCAATTGTTTTCATTTCTTCCTTGAATCATGTAGTCTGTTTACTAAAAAGTCTTTTTCTGCAACCGACACAAAAGTCGTCCATTTTGATACCGGGCAACATATTTAGTTCCTAGGAGCTAAAGTTGAATTTTAGTTCCTAGGAGCTGAAGTTGAACTTTAGCTCCTAGGAACTAAAGAGGATCTACTGGACGTCATCAAGAATAAATAACATTGTGACAGTTGGTTATTTGGGTTGAGACGCATACCTGATTTGTTTCCAATTTCAGCAGATGTGGCATTTCATACCCATGCTGGAGATATAAATACACCTTATTATAGTTTAGTATTGGAATTATAAACATCTCAGTCAAGTATTTTTGTTTTAATCAGGGAAGCCTTCAAGATTCAAATACTTGCTTGATCTGTATTTCATTCGTTATTCTCGGGATGGATAAATTGTTTTTTAATAATCACGGCAAGCAATAGTTTTTTTGTCTCAAACAACGATATTGTTTAGCTTCATTTGATTATGAAGTCAAACACAGTGTAGTATGGAGAGGAATAAATAATCACTATTATCATTGTTGATATGCTCACTAACCTAACATTTTCCACGTCTTGTTCCTATAGCTGGCACTGGCGCGGTATTTGCCATTAGAGCACCTGGTCCATACACAAATATGTCACTCTGTGGTTGTATTTATATTGAAACTACAATTCTAACATCCTATAAAACCTAACCTGCTGTTAATGCAGGTAGAATATTCTCACCACATGGATTATTTGTCAATATTTGTAGCATTGCATACATATATGGCACGGAATTGGTGGTTACTCACATATTTATTTGAGTTAATTGTTCCGGTTGCAGAAAAAATAGCATGTTTCATTCGGATCAAAAGTGACTTTGTTAGACTCGCAAATTTTGCTTTCGCTCGGCTTCGCTAGACGCTCCGCCTCGCAAATGCAAAATTCGCTTGTCAAACAAAGTATCACTTTTGATCCTAATAAAACAATCTACTATTTTTTTCCTTTACAAATTATATCCGCATGATGGATGCACCTTTCCCAATGAATGATTTCAATCACCTGTGTCACTTCGTTGTTTTCCTAAGTATTGTTCATTGAAATGACTCAGATGTTTTTTATTGCCGCCGGCAGTTTCAAAAACAACCCCACAAAGATGGCCAACGATCAGAAAAAGTTGCTCCCTTAATACAGATTCCGAAATGGTATAACATAAATATGGAGTTAATCAAAACAGCCTTTCTTTCATTAATTTTTCTGAAAGGGTCGCGATTTTCAGAAAATTGAATAACTTTTAATAGCTTATCATATCAGGAATTTCGTCCACCATTAATCATAAATCTAAAGGGTGAATCAGACGACTGATGTACTAGACATCTGAATAACCAGTTTGGGGAAAACTGGATTGGTTATATTGGCCACAGATTGGCCTTATACGATGGCCAGCATGATCCCCAGATTCATCCCCCTCACTCTCCTCAGATTGTTTACTGTGGGATGATTTAAAACAAGAAGTGTTACAAGGGATAGGTTATACGAAGGTGTGATTGGTGTCAGTAGCGAAATGGTGACCACTTCGAACATCTTGTTTGATTCAGATGTATTATTTTAATAATTTTGTGGTCTTTGCTACACGATTGAATGATTACTCGTTGAATAAAAGCATATCTACTTTGTACTTATTACGATACAAAATTATAGATACCACAAGAATAAGAGGATTCAATATACTTTCTGACGAACAGTACGGCTTTAGAGAAGGCAAATCAACAGACGATGCAATACTAGCTTTAAGAGGAGAGTTTCAACAAAATCGATATGCAGGCCTGCACTAGTTGTTGCTATTTGGGCTTATGAATGATTCAATTGAAAAACTGATTAAATCATCGTAAAGAAGAAGGTTGGGACCAGGGCCTGGTTATCATACGGAGTCGAAACTCATTTATTTATAGAAGATACAGATTTTTGAAAAACGTAAACATTGAAATTTTTTTGTCTCAAATTGAAATATTTTCGATCTCAGTACAATTATTGGAAATTCGGCGAGGTGTCACTGAAATATCAGCAGAAAACAACTACTTTCCTGGCTGTATGCCACGACGAACATTGTATTATATCTATTGAGCACATACGATGAAAAATCGAAAATAAAATCTGTTAAAATTGAGAATGTGCAATCTCCTTCAGATTAATATAAATTAAAATAATCACAGGGTAGTAATCGCATTTGGAAATCAAAAGTTGGGGTTGCAGTGATAGAATGAGGATATATGATGAAGATTACTTCTCCACTGATATGAATTCGTAAATATAGTTGCTATTAAAGATGGAAAAATAGTGGGTCTATATCTGAAATATAATAAATAAAGCTCTTAGCAACTCTTGTCATGAAATTTTTGATCCAAGGATGCCATTTTGGTGATAACAAAAGTCATATAAAGTAAAACAAAACCTCCCAATTGTTCTTAGATAACGAGAAGCGAATTTGTTGTAGTTTTAGGACGAATAACTTTCGTATTGAAAAGAAATATTCTCAGATAAATTATGAACATGAGATATATACATATAAAGAAATACATTGAGAATTCGCATTTTCTATATGATGGAAATATTAATTCTTTTTCGGTATATTCGACAGAAAACAACTACTTTCCTGGCTATATGCCACGACGAACATTGTATTATATCTATTGAGCACACACGATGAAAAATCGAAAATAAAATCTGTTAAAATTGAGAATGTGCAATCTCCTTCAGATAAAAATATGTATGCACATAATATATCATTCTGAATATTCAACACGAAACAACTAACCTACCTACATCTCCACATCAACGTTTAATATCATCAAATCATGGATGGAAAGAAGACATGTTTCGGATCTGTAGAGTATCCATCATCAGCCGGTGATGATTATTTGCTACGTCAAACATTGAACATTTAAAAGGAGAACATGAGAATAAAAATCATCTGAAATTGAGAATTGACATTCTCTTTCGAA